CAGGGAGGTGACAGCCAATGGCAGAGCAGCGCTGAGACCGGCCTGAGAGCAGAGGTGTCCGGCGACCTCCCAGCAGCCCAGGTGAGCTGGTTCTGTTCAAGGCCACCAAAGCAGCCTTCCTCCAGCCCTGGTGTTGGTGAGACACGGGGCAGCGCAGAGATGGTTCTCGGGCATCCAGGCCTGACGAGGGTTTTGCAGATCCTGCTCCCGGGAAGCACCACCTCGTAGAGCCGAGGCCGTATCCAGCCCCTTGGAGCTGAGTACAGCGCCCCGAGGGCTCTCGCAGAGAGGACGGGGTCATCTCCCTCATAGCTCTGACGCAGGAGTTATCAGCTGAAGCCCTGCTGCCAGGACTGGCCGGGTCAAAGTCTCCAAGTGCCTCAGCCTTTCTCCCCGTTGAACCCAGGCACTTTTTCAGGGGGTGAAGATGGATGCTGGTGGTGTCCTGGTGGCTTGGTCTCACTTCCACTTCAAAGTTGTGATGTCTGAGATCCGGGACCACCTGGCAGAGATCTCCAGGGAGTTTGTGTGGCATTTTTTGGTACTTACGGCTAAAGTGTGCTAGGGTTATAGGGTGACAGGGTTATGGTATGCCAGATTTTAAGCAAGTTAGGAATAAAGTGTGTTATTGTTATGGACAGAATCTGGGTTTGTTGTCCCTGGGTTCCTGGACTTATGTTATTTTTACCTGGTCTTGTGTTCTGGGTGGTCTATTTTTGTGGAGAGTCCTTTTCTTCAGCTTAGCTCCTATCTGAAGGTACATGTGCTTAGGGAAAGGTTCATCAGCCATGACAGTGTGTGTGAATCTGTCCTTCAAATAGATTTCCTGATTATTTTGGAGGGGAAAAGGAAGGTGCAGCGTTGCGCTCTGCGTGCTCTTTGTGTGGATTGTGTCTGTCCTCAGCTGGGCACGCAGGAGCTTTCAGATGAGGAATGGGACTACTCCAGGCAGAAGTGAGCGATCAGGATCCAGACTCCGTTTTGCTGAAGGCAGTCAGGTGGCCATGTGCAGTGGGAGCCTTCTTGGTCACTTCCCTTTGGATTTCAGTGCTGTTGTTTTATCAAGCGTGTATCAGATATCCAGCATTGGAGACTGGATCGCAGACCGACAAATAGCTTGACCAGTGTCACCTGGAAGGGGAAGAGGAAAAAAAGGTGACCATGGGAACTTGTTTCCAAGTATGTTTGTTTGTAATTTCTCATTGTACATTGCTGTACGTGTGTCTTGGAACATTTAGCTCACTATACGTGCTTTTGACTCTGCCTCTTCCTCTTCCTGATCGTATTCCTCCACCTCCTGTTCCTGCTTCTCTTCATTGTCATTCTTCTACCCTTCTTCTCCTCCTTGTCTGTCCTCCTGTTTGTCATTGCTGTAGTTGTCCTCCTTCTCTTCCTCTCCCTTCCGCCCACTCCTCCTCCACAACTTCATCCCCATCTTCCTTCTCTTGTTGGTTGTCCTTATTCTCCTGTTTGTCCTCTTGCTCATTCCTCTTCTTGTTTCTCCTCCTCCTTCTTCTCTTTTTCTCTTGCCTCCTCCACCGCCTTCTGTTTGTTCTGATCCTCTTCATCCTGTCTGTCATTGTCCTGATTTCACTGGGATACAATCCTAGAATCACTTTCCTGTTCAGAAAAGCCACATTTCTAGAGTAAGCTGCAGTTTTGAGAAGACTGCAGCCCCCGATTTGGTGAGAACAAAGTTGATAAGACACTTTGCTGTAGTTTGTAGCCAGCCGTGGTACGTAGGTGTCGTGGTTTAGGCCGATCCGGCAATTAAACTCCACACAGCCACTCTCTCACTCCTTCTCCAGTAAAGTGGAGAGGAGAAAAATGTAATAAAGGGACTGAGGGTCGAGACAGGAACAGAGGGAGCACCCACCGACCATGGTCCCGGGCAAAACAGACTTGGCTTGGGAACAAAACAAAACAATTTATTAACAGTTATTTGAGAGGATAAAAAGAAACATTAACAGTTACTGGAAAGGATAAAGAGAAACAAAACCAGATCTTAAAAAAAAAAAACACTTTCCCCTCCTTCCCCTCCTCCCCCAGCGGCGCAGGGGACCCAGTTAAGGGGT